GATAATAAATACATTGGTAAGAGTATCAGACAAGCAAGAAGACGTATTGATGAGCACGATAAAGGTGTTTGTAATGCTGTAATTCAAAAGACCATGCTCTCAAAGCCGACAGCATGCTTGCCGAATAATTGTACCTATGTATCATGCATGACAATCAGCGCACAGAATATCGTACACAAAATCATATAGTAAAAGTTTTTCTAGAGAATGATAAAAGAACAAGTGCCTTAATAAGAGACTCCTTGAACCCAACTGATAATTTGCGATTTATAGTCCAATGTGTTTTGTAGAAAATAACACTTCATCCATAAATCTAATTGTTGTTCGTTTAGATATATTGATCGTAATGCCGTAGAAAACAAAAAAGTTGTTTGTTGCGAAGCGTTTCGATTTTTTTTAAAAATAAAACTCATCAGGCAATCTTTTTATATCTCTTTATAATAATTTGTAATATAAGCCTGTTTTGATTGTTATCTTATCGTGTACTTATTAAGGCATTTGTTCTTTTAGCACTTTCTGTCTCTCCTAATAACAATTAAAAAACGCGACTAGTTTTTGATTGTTATCGTGTTAAGCACAAGTGTTCGCTTGCCGCAGCGTATTACAGCACGCTCAAATTGAATAGAAAAATCTGAAAACCTACTGAACTGTTCCTTATACTTTAGATAACGCTAATCCTCTCCAGCTGTACTAAAAAACAGTACGACTTCGGTTATTTATCTTCTAAGGAAAGTTCCTTTATTATATTCAAAATAATGAGCATCTGTACTTCCTCAATATATCTGTGGAGTAGGGCATACGAAAATCATATTGAAATCGCATAGAAGAAGCTTGAATAAGAAAGATGTAGAAGAATCTTCAAATTTAAGCCCATAGTCTACGTAAAGATTGTGAACACTTGAATGAATTTACTACTTCTGCTGTATGTTGCAGAGTTATTGACTTTCTCTAGACGAAGAGAAAGTCTTCTGTAAGAAAATGGCCCTATATGTTTTTCGAAGATAACGACTGGAACTGATCAGAAACCGTGGGTTATTTAGTTGTTAATATTAAAAGTTCATTGTAGACTATCATATGCTGAAATTTGTAATCATTTCTGAGTATCGATCTAAAAAGCCTATTTAATCGTACTTATTCATTTTTCTCTGCGAGTTCCATGTTCTTAATAGATTCTTATATCTAAAAACATGCGCAATTACACGGGCTTTATAATAATCTAAAGCATATCTTTCCAAACTGATGTCTTCGTAGAGTTATTGGTCAAACATTATCTAAGAGTAATTGCATCCCATATATGTAATCCCTATTGCATATAATAAAATGCGCATAGTTTTCTCAGCGCACTCAAAGCCCGGAATGATTTATACACAGAAAAATGTAGAATTGAAAGGGCGATCAAATTAGCTTTGATACATTTTATTTCAAATTGTTGGTTTGTTAGACGCATGAATAAAATAATGAAAGACATATTTTTCGTGTTTCCAGTTCCTTTCGCTACTTTTGGTGAGATGGGGTCTTCCTCAAATTGAATGCTGTTTGATGAAACGATACTATAGAGAGCTCAGAGGCGTCTTTGTTCAGGAATGTTTTCTGAACACAAAGAGTCTGTTACAAGAAAAGTATCATTAGAATTTCGGAACTTAGTTTTCCAGGGTTTTGGTTTCCAGAAACCTGGATTGCAGAAGCTTTAATGGAATCTTTATTTGCCACAGACCAGATTGTAAACTCTTTAAGCCATGTAAATCCTTCTTCAGATTTGTTGTAGCTATTATCTTTGAGGAAAAAACTGAAAGTACACGTGGTTCAATAGTTTTCGGAGCCATTGTAAATAAAAGTCAGGACGATCATATATTATTCAAGATATAAATGCTTGGCTTTCTAAAAAATCTGATGTATTTTAATTTGGAGCTTGTTAAACTCTGCATTTTTTTATATCAAAACCATTCTGGGTCTGATTTGTTTACAGCCCTATACTTCACTAACTATTCTACAATAGGCCAAAATCACCGCATCCGGTCACTATCGTGCCCATAAGTCTAACAAGCCTACGATTTGAAATAATGTGTTAAAGCTAATTCGATAGCCCTTTCAATTCATTGGATCATGGCCCAATGTGATCTGAGCTTGGTCCAACAGAAAATTTTTTTTGAGTGTTTGTAAAGTATTAATGTTGTCCTGTTTTGAGACTGAATTGGGCTATCTCCTACATATGATTAAATAAATAGAATGATGTCAATAGTAATGTTTTATATGGTAAGAGTTTATTCAATTCAATTATTTAAAAAATAAAAGCTACACTCTCATTCACAAGGACACACCACGGTAAGATGAAGGAAGAAAAAAAAGGAAAAATGAACTGCTTCTTATACCCAAGAAAAAAACTGAAATCTTAACGACGTCCAATGACAGAGGATGCACGACCTCCCATGCTTGGCTGACGTGTATGTTCACGCTAAAACAAAAACATTAGTCGTTCAATGTGAGGAAACCATATGTTTTTTATGAACTCACCGGTGGTGTTGATGATCTTTGTACAGAAACTGTTGATCGATTTTTGCTTCGTAATTTCGATAATTGATTTTCCGCTGTGTCTGCTCGTTCAGCTGCATCCTCTGAAAAAGGGAAAAGACATTTAAGAACGGAAGATTCATACAAAGATGATATTGTACCTAATTCTGTTTGAACTTTACGGTATTTGGCAAGATTTAGCGCAGCAATTTCTTCCGCTTCTTCGACCTGTCGTTTATAAACTTTAATCTTATTTTGTAATTTCTCATTCAAATCGTTCAAATGATGATGTTGTTTACGTTCTTCTTCCGTTTGGAATGTTAATTCTTTGAGACGATGATCAGTTTTACGTAATTCTTTGAGTGCTTCTTGTTGACGATGTTGTTCCAATTCAAGTTCACCTTCAAGTTCATGAATCTGAACAGAGAAAGAGTTAGAATTTTCTAGTTAAAGAATAAAATAGACTTACGCGTTGTTCGAGTTTGGCAATAATACGTTTGCCGCCTTTCATTGCGTCAGCTTCTGCTTCATCCAGACGTGTCTGAAGATCTTTGATCTGTTGTTCAAGACCTTTTCTTAAACGTTCAACATGCATGGTATGTTCCTGCTCTCCTCTGAGTTCTTCGGCCAAGCGAGCAGCATCATTACCTAAAAATCAGTTTTGTAGAAATTTTCGTTCATTAACAGAAGAATGTTCACTCACCAGCTTTCTTCGATCGTTCTTCACTATTTTTCAGTTCAGCCACAGCCTCGTCTAAATCGGCTTGCATGGCAGCTACTGTTGATTCTAGTTGACGTCGTTGTGATGATAAGTTTGCATTGTGAGTACTCAATTCCGAAATACGATCAGCTGCTTCGTGTAATTCATTTTCGGCTAGTTTTCGAGCGCGTTCAGCTTGTTCCAATGCCGTGCGCAATTCTTCGAGTTCACCAGCAATTAAATTGGCCCGACGTTCAGCAGATTGCGCTGCTTCTCTTGCTTCATCACGTTGTCGTTGTTCTTCTTCAACCTGTGCTTGCAATTCGGACAATGTCTGTTGAAGTTTTTTTACTGCTTTTTGTAAATCAGCATTTGTTCGATTTGAATGATCCAAAGCAATTTCTAATTCATTTATATCAGATTCCAATTTTTTCTTTTGTTTCAAAGCTTCAGCTTTTGATCGTGTCTCGGCTTCGAGACTCGCTTGCATTGAATCGAGAGCACGTTGATGATTACCTACACAAATATAAACTAGTAGTCTCAGATGAGAAGAGATCGAATAACTTACGTCTTGTGTTTTCGAATTCTTCTTCTTTCTCATGAAGACGTCGATCAATGTCTTGTCTTACCGTTGACAATTCCATTTGTACACGTAAGATCTTCGCTTCTTCTTGTTCCAACGCAGATTCGGCTTCTTCAAGAGCAGCTTGTAATTCTTCCTTTTCCATTTCCAAACGTTTTCGTTGTTTATCGAGTTCGTGTACTGATTTTCCACCTTCTCCTAATTGATCAATGAGATCTTTGATTTCATCTGCCAAATTTTTATTTTCCTTTCGTAAGGCATCAATTTGTTCATGTGATTCTTCATATTGAGTTTTCAATTTGAATAATTCGGTGGAATATTGGCGAGCTTCTTTCTGTGATGCTTCTAATTCGATGGTAATATCTTGACATTTTTGTTTCCATTCGTTGATCAATTTATCGAATTGTTTCTGTTTTTTGTCCATAGCGGATGCATCTAGAATTTAGAAAAAAAATCTTAAATATTGAAAAAAGATAATTCATAACTAATAGCTTACTGGCATTGGCTCTTTCGACATCCACCATCAAGTCTTCAACTTCGCCTTGTAAACGAGCTTTTACTTTTTCTAATGCATTACATTTGCTGATTGCTCCTTCGACCTATAGATGAAGATTCCCTATATTTTGCTGATGGGAATAAATACTCTCTCTACGTACTTGTTCTTCAGCTTCAGTTAATTTGGCTGCTAATTTTCGTTTTGCTTCTTCAAGTTCTTCAGCACGTGCCATTCCTTCGGATTCGAATCTTGCACGCCATTGTTGATTTTCTGAACTCAATTTCGTTACTTGTCGTTGTAATTCAGCTTTGCCCTCTTGTTCTTCATCTAATTGTTCTCGAGCTTGATCCAAATCGGCTGTTAAATTACGTAATTGTGAGTCTAAAAAATAATTAATAATCAATTAATATTACATCTCATAGAACTTTTTTTTCTACACCTTACTAATAGAATTTTTTGATCGTAATTCTTCTTCAAGTGCACGTTTAGCTTCATCAGCTTGTGTTTGTAAAGTTGTTTTGACTTTTGTTAATGCACTGACTTGATGTTCAAGTTCTTCTAATTGTTTTGATAAATCTGAATTTTCTGATAATAATTTTGATTTTACTTGATTGAAATCGTTAATTTGTTTAACATGATCATCTAATTTGACTTGCATTTCATTTAATTGTTGTTCTAATTGTTTTGATAATTTTTCTGCTGCCAATTTTCCTTTAGTAATATGATCAACTTGAGTACGTAAATCATCTAATTCAGATTTGACTTGTTGTTTCTCTTTTTCTAATTTATTTTTCAATTTTTGTAATTGATCAACTAAGAAAGAAAGAAAAATCAAAATTTAGTACAAATAAAAATAGTAAGAAGAAACTTCTAGTGCAAAAACAAGCAAATGTGAGGTAGGAAAGAACAAATTACTTTATAGTCTCAGGTGCTATGAAACCAGTTTCTTAGTGAGATGTATAAAAGAGTCCTGCAAAACTTGTGGTCGTACTATGTATTTTTAGGGTAGTGATAAAAAAATCTCTTGTGAAAAAATTATAACAAAAATCGTGATTCTCTTCTAATGTTAAGGAATGTGTTTTAATAGGTAATGGGTATTGACATGGTGTAATTCAATAAAGGACTTCCATTTGCTAACTGAGGAAGTTCCTACCTGTAAACTTAAAATACCTAAAATAAGAGCAAAATATATACATGGACCATATTTGGATTATATTGATTTTCTTAAACATTTCATCCAAAAAATGGTTCAATCAAGATTGTTATCTATTTGATTTTATCGACTTTTTAGCTTACTTTGTTCTCCCATTTCATTGACTGCATCTTGATGTTTCTTTCTTAATTGAGCTGCTGTTGCTTCATGTTGAAGATTAGCTTCTTCCAAATCTCGTCTCAATTTAGCTAATTCACCTTCTCGTTTTTTGTTCATTTCAACTTGTGACGATGTTGCTCCTCCAGCTTCCTCTACAATACAAAACAGATTCAGTGATGTTATAAATTGTCAAGTACAACACTATTTGATTATGAATCTCAATTTACACTAGATGAAATTTCAATAGGATGTTACTATTGACATTTCATACCTAAACGATCATTCATTTCGTCAATTTCTCGTGCCAAATCAGCTCGTTGTTTCTCTGTCTTTGTCTTCGATTGTCTCTCAGTTTCTAATTCTTCTTCAAGTTCTTGAATTCTTGCTTGCAGTTCTTTGATTTTCTTTTGTAAACCCGATGCTTGTCCTAGAAGAGCAATAGTCTTATAGAAAATCGAAACACCTTATAGTGAAGGTAAATACCTTGTTCATCTTCTAATCTGCCTCCCATCTGTCCAATTTCTTGATCTTTTCGTTTAATACTTTCCTCCAATTCTCGTCTGGCTCGTTCCATATCTTCCAAACCGGCTTGTGTCGCTTTTAGATCTGTTTCTAATTTTCGTTTTGATTTATCTAAATCTGCACGACTTTTTTTCTCACGTTCTAATGAATCTTCTAATTCATCTAACGTTTGTTCTAATTTTGTTTTCAATTTGTTCAAATGATTTACTTTATCCTCTTCGGCTTGAAGTTGTTCGGTGGTTTTTGCATTTTGTTCTTCCTACATGATAATAGATATTTAAAAGATTACTTTAACGAAAAATAAACACTTACCAATCGTTTCTTCTCACGTGTCATTTTTGCTAATGATTCATCTTGTTGTGACATTTCATCTTGTAAAATGTTAATTCTATTTTCTCGTTGTTTTAATTCATTTTCTGATTTCTGTAAATTTAATCTCATGTCATCAATATCTTTCTTTAAACCGTCAATGTCGTGTTCTAATTTTTTACGCTTATTATTTAATTCTGCACCCACTTCCTCTTCCTCATGAAATCGTTCTTCCATATCTTTCACTTGTTGTTCCAAATCGGCTTTTTGTGTTACTAAACGTGTTAATTTTTCTTCTACACCCGCTGTCGCCGTTCGCTCTGATTCTATTTGTTGATACAGATCATTTTTCTCTAAATAAATAAATAAATTATTAATCTACATCTATGTGGTTAAATGCCTCTATGTAGTTACCTTTGACCAATTTTGAATTTGCATCTTCCATTTCTTTTCGAAGTTTCTCTTCCTTAGCCAAATTTTCTTTCAAAGCAGCAAATTCTTCTTCCATCTTCTTGAGTTCTTCTTCTTGTCTTGCCACGGATAAAAGTGGTTTGATTTTTGTGAACAATTTCCACCAACCCCAATTTCGAAAAGCCAAATATTTTTTGATATTTCGTTGTACAACTTGTAATGCAAGACGTTGTTCCAACATTCTTTTATATTCTTTACGCATAACAAAACCACGCATTTGTGATTGTAATTTGGAAATGATAACACTTAATGCTGTATCACGCATATCTTCCAATGAACCCAAAACACCGGCTTTGAAGAAAACTTTAGTAATACCAAGACGATATTGTTCTTCAGATAATTGTATCTCTTTAAGAATATCTTCAGTGGCTTTCTTGGCATCAACAAAACCTTTAGGAATCGCGTTAGGTGCAAGAATACTATAACGTTGTTTAAATTCTTGGTAAATCATACGATTTGGTAAGCCAAGACGACAGATACGAATACCTTCGAGTACACCGTTACAATGAAGTTGATGAATAACCAAATGTGCGTCGAGTACACCTATTAATGAAAAATATTAATATCTAGTACATTTATTAATATGTCACATTAGATGACAGAGATGTCGATAGGAAATAGAGTGAATACAATACGTTCTAGTCTATGAACTACGAAGTACAATCTAATCATATACGCTCTTTCGATTGACTGATTTAACTATCACATTCTCTTCGTCATAAAGGTATATACATTAATTCATTTTAAAAATCCTATTTCATTTTTCATCTGTTAATATAATAATGTGCAAAATAAAAAATGCTTGTATTTAGCAGTAGCAAACGTGTATTTAGTTGTAGCAAGTTATGTTTTAGCTATTTTTTTTATCTTTGTAAAACATCTCTTAGAAAACTTATGTAGAATATGTCTTTCGCATAAACTGTTGACATAACTATGATGGAAAATGACTTCGACGAAAAAGATTATATTTAAATAATTATGATTCAAGAGAAAAAATAGCTTGTTCATTGATCTTTTGTATATAGTTAGGCTAGTGGGAGCTTATTCCCAGAGTTTTCAAGATCTCGACCTCTACCAGTTAGCTGTTTGTATTATTTAACTCGCAACGACAAATCAGTTTTAAGCAGAAAGACGGTGGAAAAACACATTATATAAGAAAATAGTTATAGCAAAAGACGGAGGATGATAAGCAAGTTTCCTCGAAAAACGTGTGATTATTTTCTTTGGTAGACGATTAATAATCCGGAGAGTAGGTGGCAATTAGAATTGAAAGTATTTTGCTTTAACTTGTTTTCTACAAATAGAAACATCTTTGATCTACCTCCTGTTTTAATTTCATTTGGAATAATACAACGGACAAAGTGTGGATGTGTCTGTTTTAATGTGGTCATCAATTTATTCAGTTGTTCCTAAAAATAGATCTAACTAATGTCCAAGAGAACTTTACTTAATATTGTTAAACTTACTCTATGAGTGGCCGAAATAGTCTGCATACTACCACCTTTCTTTGATTTTCCACCACCACCTTTTCCACCTTCTTCTTCTGCTGCTGCCACATCAGCATACAAATGACTTAACATTGGATTTTTTGATTTTGAAAAGAGAGTAGCAACTGTTGTATTAATTGGATCTTTATTTTTTTCTAACCAACTAGTTGCTGTATACGGTACGGAACCAGCGTAGTGATGTACTTCAAAATTAGCTTCAGCTTTGCCCTTAGCTGGTTTTGGTTTACCAAATTGTGGATGTTTACCCAAATGATTTGTATACAACTTTTCTACAAATGTTTTATCACTGGCCTTAGGTACGATACATTCTTCTTCCAGAATTGATAATATACCCATAGGCTAAAAAAAATAAAGTTTATTTTTTGGGAAGAATGAGATAGAAGGCACTTATACCTTTTCAATTAAGTCAATGCATGCTTGTAAATCCATACCAAAATCAATAAATGTCCATTGAATGCCTTCTTTTTTGTATTCTTCTTGTTCTAACACGAACATATGATGATTAAAGAATTGCTGAAGACGTTCGTTAGTGTAATTAATACATAATTGTTCGAAACCATTGAACTAGAGTAGAAGTATTTTTGTAAAATTGAAAGAGTCTAAAAGAACAATAATTACTTCAAAAATTTCGAACCCAGCAATATCCAAAACACCAATGAAATATTGCTTTTTTGATTTAACATCCAATGTAACATTGACACGTTCAACGAGCCAACTGAACATACGTGAATATATTGATTTTGAAAGAGCACCAATCGAATTTACCACTTGATCTTTACTTTGACCTTTGTTGACGTATTCTGTTCCAACCTAGAGCAAAAATACATAATTCTTTACTTCTATTACATACTATAAACAATATTTACTTTGATACGTGGTTTTAAGAGGCCTTTGATGAGATCAGCTCCTTCAACATTTAATAAATGTGCCACTTTATCACAATCTTCTGTGCCATCAGCTTCAGCTTGTTCTTCACGTGGTCGTTGTTTCCATGTTGTATTACCAAAATGCATGATAGCTGCCGTACATTTAAATAAATTAAATTTTTCGTCTTGACTAAATCCCAGAATATCAAATGCTTCCTCTGTTAATTTCCATTCTTCAGCATCATCAACTCCATCGATTGTCAATTTACCCTGGGCAACATAATGATATTTACCAGGATCAGTGCCAATCAATAAGTCCTCTGAATACACACAACAATAAGTTCCATTAGTAAATGGTACAAAATAACTTACTATGATATTTCTCGGCAGCACTTGAACATAACTGATAGAAAATGTGATAATTTCTCTCGAGTGGCTGTTGAAAAATTACACGAGATTTTTCAAGTAAATATACTTCAATATCAGCGCCGGCAATTTTTCCAGCATTACCAAAATGGATACGAATAAATTTACCCTAAACAAAAGAAGAGTATAGTTGAAAATATTGAATATCACTAGTAGAATCTTATTGAACACCGACTGTGGTTGTTTAGATCATGCAGAATTGTTGTTTGTCCACCAGGTATGGGGATACAAGCATGTTTTACACTAAAAATCGAATAATGAATATAAAAAATATATATCAAACAAATAATAAGGTGATGAATGTTCGTCTAACTTCGTATCCTACAAAAATCGCACCTTAAGATTTCATAAGTCGGTTGACAATTAGACACAAAATAGATCTCAAAATAAGACGGATAACAATAAAACTGATCGAAATGTCTTATTTTATGATCTTTTGTATGGGTCTAATCGTTGACCGACTTATGGAGTCTCATTTTAAAATCGATAAATTTATCTGTCTTATTTTTCAAAGTAATTTGAATGTTAAGATAACTACATCAGAGTAGGTCAGTCGTTTTAATCTAGTTGTTGGAAATATTTTATAAGAGAAACATAATAACATTTTATTGTATTTCAATGAATCTTCTGTTCTCTATATACAAGTGGTCAATGAGAAACAAAAGAGATGAGTGATTTCTTATACTTCTACGATCTTAGAAATAAGATGGAAGAAAAAAAGTTAGATCGACATAGGAGTAAGATGTATTTTTTTTTCTAAAATGTGAATACGAAGTATGATTATAAGCAATTGACCGAAAAGGAGTGTACTTCGATATATTTGAAAAATTGAGCAGTAGTATACTGCCAGCTTCCCTTCCATTATACTAGTTAACCTTGAGATTTAATTTGAGAAGTTATCTTGTATATTCAAATATCTCCTCTATCCCGAATAATATGAACGTTAAATAGGTTTATCTCTGTTCGAAGTTCGCTTACATAGAGCACGATTATAACACAGATAGTAATTTCCCTTATTGAAAACTCTCTTCTCGATTCTTTTATCTATATGATAAGTTTCATCCATTCCATGAATTAGTGAAGAAAGCTTGTCTACGCAGGATCGATATTCTACTATAGTCAATATGACTCAATAAGTTTTCTGTCGTTTTCATAAGGTTATTCGTTTTCATTAATCAGTGTTAAATTTAAACATTTTATAGCGATTAAAAAGCCGATATTTGCCATTGGTACTAAAAACTAGATTCTTTTCTACAACAGTGTATTTTAGTAACAAGATATGAGAAGAATCTAAATAAATTCAAACGTTGAATGACTATGATCAAATACCAAAAGTTTGAATATCACCACAAGCAAAAGCAAATGACATCATGTAGTAAAGCACATTTGATAGCATTTAAAAACTCATTTTTTAAAACCGTTTGTAATTTATATAATGAATTTTAATGTTCGAGATATAGAGGATTCTACAGGTTCATACTATGTATGATGGCATACATATTTATTTCCTTTTTTCTGACCATTATAGAATATTTTTTAGCACGATCTACACATGACGAGATAGAGAGTCAACGATTTGCTCTTTCTGGAAGATGCATTAGTTCTTGTTTTTGTTTCTAATTACTTCAGAATTTTCCTTTGAAAACGTTCACTGTTCTTGTGAATTTTCATCGAGTGAAATATCACAAATAGTTTCTGGAGATTAAAAAGGTATCGCCATTTCAATTGGTGTATCAGATTCTACGTTCGTCTGGTCACTTACGAACTTATTTTTCATAGTAATTTGCGTACTCTTTGACATCATGAATTAGCTTCACTCATTTGATAATGAGTGGAATCCAAAAAAAATAATTTCACATTTCGTTTTGAAAATTTGCTACTGGTTTTCCTATCCCTTAAATTTGTTTTTCAAGTTTAAATAAGCTCGTTTTGTTACCACTTATAGATCGGATCTCTAGGAGACATATTTGAAAATATAATTTCAACTCCTCCGTTCATGTGCAACAAGAGAAATTTGATTGAAATTGTACAAAAAAAATAAAATTTTTCCCGTTTTTGAACAATTTGATAAATAGGACTAAATCCCCCACCCAGAATAGAACGCCAGTCTGAAGCGGTAATTTTTGAAATACGCCCTATAGGCAGTTTTTCACCAAAAAAAGTGCGATGTGCGAAACCATCATAGAAGGCCATGGCCTTCTACTCTGGGTGGAGGGGGAGTTATGTGATAGGTTACAGGCGACATTTTATAACGTGTTACCAAAACATGGTGGGAAGCGGCAATATCTCTTATTGTGAGAAGAAAAGTGGTGATTATCTACATAACTAACGAACTAGCTTTTTCGATGAAAATGCATTAACAGTGTTTTCTCGTTTTTATGTATTGTATAGACTTATACTTCTTCTGTCACTTACTAAAGTTCCTCCTCACCCTCGGTGTATATAAAAAATGAATTCGCAACTCGAGTACGAAAATCGGTGGTCTATCTGTCTAGTCAAAATGGTTTGAAACTCGAAACTTTGGTCAGGAATAAGTGATAACCCTTGCAAACAGTAATAATCCATGAATCCGAAAAAAATGAATCTTTTCAAATTGTTTTTCTCTTTTCTTTCTGTCTTCCACAGAGCTAACCTGAATACTAAAATCTTTACTCTAACTAGGCGACAATTGCCCCCTATCTGATATAGATGTCAGTAAAATCTGGAACACAAAAACGTTTATCTCCCTGACACCGACTGACTTTCTCAGATACAGTTGTCTGAAATCAAGATCGAAATTAGAAGGTAATGTAAATAATGGTAAACTGTGATTTGACTTAAATTAAAAAGTAGATCTATATTTCGTAAAAGGATATGACTTGCGATTTATAGGATCGACAGGTGCAGGTAGGTTTAGAGTGCAAGAATTTTTATAGAATAGAGTGCAGGTATGATCATAATTATCAGGATCTGTGCACATTTCTGAACTTGCATGATTAATAAATGTGTATGCTGTGAAACAAGCATCATGAATGGTGAAATACGTACAAATCGAGAACTGTTATTGTTTCTTGTTGTTTTTGCATTACCATAAGCTTCTAATACAGGATCTAAAGTACAGAAGAAAAAAAAAGAATGTCAAATCAATTTTACAATGATGAGAGAAGAAACTTGCTTGCTGATACAATCTGATCCTCTAGCGTCATCGATTTAACACCCTATTTTAAAAAAATAAAGAAAATTCATTCAGTTAAATACAGCAACATTGAAAGTCAAACGTACTGAATCTTCTTTTTTCTCGGATGCTGCTGCAACTAGAGCAAAATATTGAATAACTTTCTTGGTATTTTCTGTTTTTCCAGCTCCCGATTCACCAGTAATCAACATCGATTGATTTTCACGATCTAGATATATATATATATCGTATTATTCGATGGAAAATGTAGAAAAGATGTTTCATATGTATACCTCTCAACATATTAGCGTAGGCATTATCAGATACGGCATACAAATGAGGAGGCACTTCATTTTGTTTTTTACCACGATACATCATCACAACTTTCATTGTGTAAATTGGCAAACGTTTATAAGGATTAATGACAACACAAAATAATCCCGAATAGGTCTAGAAAATGAAAACGATGCAAAATTACATAATTTTTTATTTCATCTGTATTATACTCACGTAAATGAGCCAATTTTTGTAACGTTGACGAAGATTATGAAGTACACTGGCATCATTTAAATAGGTTAAATTTGCCATATCATCACACATTTCAAATTTTGGTGGATTCATCTGTTGGATATCATCTTTTTTTACTGTGACTTTCTACAAGAAGAAAGTAGAAAAATGACATGTAGTACGGGAAAGCAAAGAGTTAATAATCATTCTTACTTCACCCTTGTCTTTTGTTACTGTGACTTCTTCACCTTTGGTACTTTCAATGTCACCTTCAACAAAACATTCTTTGGCATCGGGAACCCAACAACGCTTTTTAGCATCAAACGGTTGTGATTGATATTTAAGTTTTTCTTCTGGTGTCATGCGAAGATATCGCAATGACTCTGTCAGTTCTTTATCGTCGCCCATCTTGACTGTTATTCAAATACTTTCTACAAACGAAAAAAAAAAAAAAAATCAAGATCTTTGAATATTTTAATGTATTAGTCTCTAAAAGTTTTATTTTCAACATCACACTATTTTTTTTATACAGTCAATGTTAACAAGTCAAATAGAGAGTGTACAAGGTTTTTTGACACGGATTATTTACTTCTATCATAGTAATCGTATTCTTACCTTATTCTTGTTATCCTAGAAGAAGATGATGTTTCGAACAAAAAGAAAACACAAATGTGTTGTTGAATATGCCTAACGACAACTATTTATATATATATAATTACTAAAAAATAGAAAAAAAAAGATTATCGAGAAAGAAATAGATGTATGGACTCTTTTTTTCCTCTACTCGATTTGTGTATATATTAGATAACGACAAGAATAATCTACATATAAGGTTTGTATCCATTTTGGGAATAACTTCTTAGAATATCTCATTTATCTTATATGTTGCTTGAAAATGAGACAGAATAAGTCCAATTAGACCTAATAGATACAAAAAAAATGAAGAATAAGACAAAGATAGATAAGTCCATTACAGTCGGAGGTAAAGGACGAAGAAAGAAATTTGATGCTATAACTAACTAACAGTAAATTTCTGAAGTATAACAAAACAGAAAAAAAAAAAAAAAAAGAAGAAATAATATATATATATGTATAGGAAAAAGAGAGAAACGAAAATTATTATAGAATAGGAAAATATTTATATATAGTTACGCGAGAAAAAATGAATTGGCGTACTTAACAACACATTTTATCAGTGTAATGGAAAGACCCCAAAAGTCGATATCAGTATACCATATGACTAATTGTTAAATAAATAAAGATGTTATCGATGAAATGGTAGAAGATTATATTGACATCATAGAAGTGTTATTAAGATTAGTGAGAAAAAAACCAAAAAAAAACAACAAAAAAACCTAATAAATATTTAATCAAAACATTCATACTAAAGTTTAACACAAAAAAATCTGGTGTCTAGTATACCATCATTCTCACCTAGGGCTATCCACCTTCTACATTTTTCTCAAATTACAATATACAGTAGTTAAAAAACAAAAAAAAAAAACATTTCCCTAAAAACATAAAAATCGAGATACAATGATATATTTGATTAATACTGTCTAGTAAAATAACACTAAATTATGTTAGAATAATATTTTTCTCCAAAATATTTCATGTTATTGTTTAACTTCACTAAAAATAAAAATTCTAATTTTGTTTTTTTTTTCATTGAGACATGAGATATAAAAATTTAAAACTATTTCATATTTTAGACTTTCTAAAATAAAAAAAAATTATTTATCCCTTTAAATTTCAAACTAAAACGTACAATGCCACTCATTAAATATCACTATGTCTGCCACTTCTGATCATGAAAAACGAGAACGATTAAATTATTATTGTATTCTAATAATAGTCTGTCAGAAGTTATCTTACTACTGCATAATAGTCTTCTCTTTACTATCGTAGGCAAAAAAAATGTTTCCTTTATAAGAAATAAAACGAACAAAATGGTATAGATGACAACAACAACATAACATATATATATATATATATACATATAATTTTTTGGGCTGTTCTGCAGTACATCATAACTCAAATAGGAGAAGGTCAAATTTTCTTCTTGATGCAAAAAATCATAAATCAATGTGTACAATCTCTAAGACTTAGAGACAATGAAAGCAAAAAAAGTTAAGAATAGTTTATCATCTATTGTGTTAAAATAAAAATTAAAATAGATTAGTAAGAGTAGTTAAATGTTATTAATTATTAATATTCTTTACAGCAGTTATATATACTCTATTTATTTATCGGTAGAAAAATCGAGCTGGATTATTCATGAGATTGTTTATCGTAGTTTTATTCTTATAAATAAACTTAATCTATCACATTTGAGATAGGAGACATTTTTTTTTGTCGAGCCTTTTCTTATAAAATAATCATTGAATGCAATTAAGGTGTAAATTATTTATGTCACCATCCACCAGAATATCTAAGTGAAAATGTAACAATTGTCCTTGGAAAATATCTTCCTTTCAAAAGTAGGTATACACCGGCTATAATCGATAAATTTCACCTTTTATTCTGCAGACAGCATGAAAAGTACGCATATTAAAATTTTTCTAACAAGAGTGTAGAGAAAACATTTTTCTATAAGGTGAGCTATGATGAAAGTCTTCATGTTTTCTATTTCTGTCGTAATCGCTTTCGATGAAGAGTTCTTACCCTAGTGAGAAAATGACTCGAATCTTACTAAGACCGTATGACCCGAAATTTTAAGATTTTGCTAAGAACTTAGTATGATCTTACTAAGATTATATTGTCTAACATTTTTCAAGGTTAGATAAACATCTGTTAGGATCTTAATTGTAAGAACGACGATGTTTTCTTAATAATATTCATTCAAGATTCGCTCAGAATTTTTAATTTGCATTATCCAAAGCAGCAGTTGGACAGTGTCGAAAAATGACGTGAAATTTCATATTTTCGGATGTCCAAGCATCGACCTTGACCAATTGAAAAAGTTGTTGAACACTTGGAAGAGATCAAGTACTAGCCGAGCCTGGAAGAAAAATAAACGTAAAAATCACCGATATTTTAGGGGAACTTATATCGGTTAATCAGAGCAAAACAAAAGGGTGAATGAAAGTAGAATTATTGAGTCTTAGTAAGGCCGTGAACGGTAAGATCTTACAAGAGAACATCCCCAACCGATAAATCGCTTTTTGATCTAAATCTAGGTTATCAACCATGCTGATTCTGAATATGACCATGGGGGTTCCGCATAGCCTTTCGAAGACCCTGTTTTCTAGAAAACCAGTCTTTCAGAAACTCTAAGAAGTAACCAAAACCTTTCTTAATGAGGCATGATTGTAGCCCGAAAATTTCTGATTAAAATGAGACATCTTCCAGCTCTACACGATATTTCCTTGCAAAGTTGTAGAATTTACAAGAAAAGCCCTAAATGTTCATTGTTAGCTCAAAGCTACAGTAATGAGAAGGAAAAAATTGATTTAGCGTTTTTCTTATAAATTCTACAACTTTGCGCAGAAAGGTCGTGTAGAGCTGGTAGATGTCTCATTTTAATCAGAAATTTTCGGGCTACAATCATGCATCATTACGAAAGGTTTTGGTTACTTCTTAGAGTTTCTGAAAGAAGTTCTATATACATTGTACTTCTTCATATCCAGACTATGTTCTCATTGTTCTCGTATTCTTGGGCATATTTTATCTTTGTTTGGTCATATTAGATTTCTCTTCTTCTCTCTCATCTCTCCACTATATATAAACAGATATCAACAGCAGTTAGATCGGTTTTATTTTGTTGTAGTCATACGTTTGTACAATCTTAGGTTTTCTTAATAAAAATTGACAAGAAAGTGATTCAATTCATTATCATTGAAGCATTGGTGATCTAATAACCGGTACATGCCTATTCAAAAATAAAGCAATCACGTCATTTTTCATACCATAAACCATTACAAAATACAATTAGCTACCTAGGAAAGCAATTTCAAAGTTCTAGACAGATTCTTTCAAACGTGTATTTGACGTTCATTGAGCAGCACATATCGCTATATCAACGATCGTATAGTACTCAACGCAGGAATCAAAATTCAATTTATCTTTCACCAATGACTTTGAACAGAGATAAAACGACTGACCAATGTATAACATTTTTGGATTTTGAGATGATAATTCTCAACGGTGCCATTCAAATTAATTCATATAAACGTACTAAATTCGGTTTTTATATTGGTAATTATCCGAATTTTAGTGGTAACTTTCCCTCTGTAATAGACCATGATGTAGTAGTTGGTTAGTTACTAAGTTTACCATAAACTTATATAGATTATAATAGTACATCAAGAATGTTTACGAAATGTTCAGCAAACTCCCTATAGAGAATGTCTGATGCTTGTCTGATCTTGAAAACAGAGTGAAGATTTACACTTAGAAGACTCACAATTAGTGAAAATTTACTTACAGATGTCTGTTTCCTGTTGTTCTTTTTCTTATTCTGGTCAACTTCAAGGTTAGAATAAGAAAGTGATAAGACCAAATCAACATAGTCAGTTTTTTCTACGGATCAGATTCAAGATCAGTGCGAGGTTTTTTTCATAATCCCCGTTGTGTTTTACTAAGTCATGTAATATAGAGTGACCACTAACTCTTCGAAAAATTTCAAAGTTGTCCTCATAAATGATGAGTAATGTCTTAGACATTTCTGTGCTGAACAAGAGATATCTAACGACATTCCAAGTCTAATGGTTACATTAGAAGGTCTCCAGAAAAGTTTCTGGATTTCTACTGATTCATGATATTGCTTGATGGTTAAATCACATTGAATCTACACGAATATATGTTTATAACACTTCTAGAATTTTTTCAGCTCTTGAGAAAGGGTTTTATTTAGATTTTTCATGGATTTTAAGTGGTTATAAGACAAACCGTTAAAATTCTAGAAGATTCATTAAAATAAAATTTAAGCGACAAAATGCATTCTCAACCATTTTAAGCATTCCAGAGATTTTCAGAAAGTTTTCAGAAGATATTTAAAGATTTCTGTATTTCACATTTTTTTAACATTTTGTGAGCACAGATAGAGTGGTGTCGTCATATAATATCACTTCTTAATGTAATTTGTTTATTTTGTATGATAAACAATACTGTGATGATGCATGTAGTACCATCACGTACACTGTATCATTTAAATATATTATAAAGTAACATCGACATTTCACATTTACTATAGCTGACTCTAATACGAGTGATAATACACAAAAAAAAACAACAGAAACGACGCATATGTGTAGGAGTTTCACCTAGTTTATCAACCAATATTTGACACCATTACAAGTAAATCAGATATTAATTCAGCTTTAAGTTTCTCGTGACTCAACATCACATGTTCCATGTTCATAATTAGAGGTGCCACTTTACTCTTCTTTACTTCTTTCTAGTAATAA